TAGTATTGTTAGACGAATTAAAACACGTGTGTACAAGGTTATATTTGCTTTGTCCCCACATGTTTTGATTCATTTTGAGTCTTTAGCTCTGGGACCTTAGTGCCTATCATTTGTATATTGTTTTCCTTTTTGTTAGCTTGAAGTAGTTGTACTTCACTTGGTTCTTGACTGCTTAGGTATACTTAGTATACTTGTATTTGTACTTGATCTTTGATTGTCCGAATATGTTCGGTATACTTGTAAATAGGTTTTGATATATGAAATTTTACATTTAACGATCAAAAAAGAATAAGAATGAGAAAAATAGCCGTTACGGGGACCCACACAAGAGAGGAAGTCAAATATGGTGACTTGATATGATGGATAACGGTCATATTTTTCATTTTTGTGAGTAAAAAATGGAAACTAAATGGGGCCTAAATCAGTTGTCTTACTTGGACGTCCTTCATTTATACTAGCTCTTGTTAATAAATTGTAAGACGTCATATATATAGTGCATTTTAAGTTTCTGTTTGGTAAAAAATTTAATCAAAGTCAAATTCAATAATTGATTTTAACCATACGTTTCATGAGATTCACAACTTTTCAACCACGCATTTCATCAACTTTTATAAAACTGCTAAAAATTTGATTTTAATCCCTATCAAATAAGAGCTAAGTGGCATCAAAATGTTGTTTTATTAATTGCTAAAAGAACTAAAATAATGAAGTGTTAACATTTAGAAAATGAGACTCAAAAGAGACGACAAATGACAATGGCGAATATGAGCTCCCGTAAAAGGAGGATCGTAGTAAAGTTAGTGTCCACAGGCAATAATTTTGTCGGGTAAAAATACTTGTACAGTCCAGCTCAAACTGTACATGTGAGGGGGCCTAATGCCGAGGTTGGGGCCCTCTCATGTGAAGGAGCTATAAGTCTTGCAGGACACAATCCTTATAATTTTGTGTGACCTTAGATGGTTAGGTGGCACTGTGGCAACAATCACTAATAGTTGAGGGGGCCTAATGCCGAGGTTGGGGCCCTCTCACGTGAAAGGAGCTGTAAGTCTTGCTGTATACAATCCTTGTAATTTTGTTTGACCTTAGACGTTTAGGTGGCAACAATCACTAATAGATGAAGACATATAAGCTCGGCAAAAGCCCAGATCATACCTTGATTGGTCTACAACACAATTTGACTTGCCTCCGTAACCTGTGTGTTTCACTTGACATTCTACTCACATGGCCTTAAACTAAGGCACGTCAATTCAGGTCGTAATTCAGAGCGATCCAATGTAATTAACAGCTCTTACTACTTAAAAATACACAGACAAAATCACATAAAAATCCAAACTTCATAGGGGTGGACACAGTCCAATTCGGTTCTGTTCGATTCGATCGGATTCGAGAATCAAATTGAACTAATAATTACCGGTATCTTATAAATGAAATCGATGGATCCAACTTTAATTATGGAATAGAATCTTCTGTTGGGGTCCAATTTGTTCGATTTCGTACCATAATTAAAATTTTCAATATTATCGTAATTCCAACAATTATTTATATTTTCCTAATGTTTGAAACAACACAACCACCTAACAAACAATATATTCTCTACAAGATAAGAAACACAGTCCAAATTTATAGACATAAATAAAAAGTTGTCAAATAAAATTCATTCACTAATATATACTAATGTACAAAATATTAACAGTGAAACGTGTGCAAATTTTCTTTTAGGGAAAAAAATTTGACATGTTTAATTCAAAAATAAGAAACAAAAAATTTAGAAGGTTGGGTCCTTCAATTTTGGATCAAGAACTGAGAAACAAATCAAATCCATTGATTTTCGTTTCTAATACATGATATCCAATTTAACCTGAGAAAAATGAATTGAATCAAACAGAAATGCTCGGTCGAAACTTTTTTCCATTTGTATAAAAATCAACCCGATCCAGATGATCGAGCTGAAATCCCTATGACCTAAGCCCTAGTTTGGCCAAGTTGGATCATATGATCCAAATGCAACTAGCCCAACAAAGTCTGAATTAACGGGCAATTTTTGAAGGGAAAATTTAGCATATGCATCATTCTATTAAAATATTTTATAATCTACACTATGTCGTTAATAAAATTTAAAAATACTGGATGATATATATTTCATGCCTATAAGCACTTCCTTCCAAAAGTAACCCAGAAAAAAAGAGAAGAAGATGAATTCCCGGTATTTTTATTATTGGTCAAAGATGAAATATGTTTACATTTATAGACACATTACAACAGCACTACAGCTGGACTTCAACAAATTTAACTAACTGCATTTATTCTAACTAACTATATCTAACAGCTTTCTTTGTCAGCTAATCTGCATCGTAAGATCCCCCCTCAAGAGGGGCATGTATGTTAAGAATGCCCATCTTGGAGATATTCATTTTGAACAGTGCAGAACCCAAGGGTTTTGTTAAAACATCTGCTAGCTAATGTTAGGAAGAAACATGGATTATCTTAATCAAACCAGCTTGTAGTTTCTCTTGAACAAGATGACAGTCTATTTGAATGTGCTTGGTTCTTTCGTGTTGAACAGGGTTAGTAGTAATGGAAAGTGCTAACTTGCTATCGGTATAGAGGTGTGCGGGTTGGTCATGATGGAAACCTAAGTCCTGTAGAAGGTAGAGCCATTGGACCTCACAGGTTGTGGAAGCAAGTGCCCTGTACTCAGCTTCAGCGGAAGACCTGCTGACTGTAGCCTGTTTCTTGGATTTCCATGAAATTAAGGATTCACCAAGGAAAATGGAAAAGCCAGTGATGCTGCGCCTAGTGTCAATGCATCCCGCCCAATTGCTGTCATTGTATGCTTTGAGATGCAGATCCAAATTGCTGGGAAAAAATAACCCTTGGCCGGGGGTAGCCTTAATGTATCTAAGAACCCTGTAAGCTGCATCCAAATAAGACTGAGCAAGTTTAGACATAAATTGACTAAGAATTTGCACTGAATAGGACAAGTCAAGTCTAGTGATTGTGAGGTAGATCAATCTGCCAATAAGTCTTCGGTAAAGTGAGGGATCAGTTAGGAAGTTGCAATCTTCAGAACTTAGCTTGAGGGTAGAATCCATTGGGAATGCTACAGGTTTGCAGCCAGAGAAGCTAGTGTCTTCCAGTATATCTAGAACATATTTTCTTTGGCAAAGGCTTATTCCCTTCCGTGATCTAGCAATTTCCAGTCCAAGAATATACTTCAATTTGCCTAAGTCCTTAATTGTGAACTGATCATCCAAAAATTTCTTGAGAGCTTGAATTTCATTGAAATTGTTACTTGCAAGTAAGATATCGTCAACGTAAACTAAGAGCACCATGAATGAATTATTAGTAGTGCGAAGGAATAAGGAAGAATCTGACTTAGCTTGCTGAAAACCATATGAAATGAGGCTGGTAGTGAGCTTCTCAAACCATTGCCTGGATGCTTGTTTTAAGTCCATACAAGCTTTTATTTAGTTTACAAACCAAGGAGGTGTCGTGAATTGGATAACCCTGTGGTGACTCCATATAGACTTCCTCATGTAAGTCACCATGCAAAAAGGCATTATTTACATCTAATTGGTGCAAAAACCAATTGTTTACTGCTGCAATAGCCAGTAGCACACGAATGGAAGTTAATTTTGCAACAGGAGAAAAAGTGTCAAAAAAATTAAGGCCTTCTTGTTGGGTGTATCCCTTAGCAACCAGCCGTGCTTTATATCTTTCCACAGTGCCATCTGCCTTATACTTGACTTTATAAACCCATTTACATCCAATAGTATGTTTGTCATGTGGTAGATGAGTGAGGGTCCAAGTATTATTCTTTTCAAGAGCTTTTATTTCGCTATCCATAGCTTTTTGCCAGTGGGGAAATTTGACAGCTTGGCCATAGAATTTTGGTTCAAAAGTATTAGAAAGTGCTGTAGTAATGTCTTTGTGTTTGGGAGCTAAACGATTAGTGGATATAAAGTAGGATAAAAGATATGGTTTGCCTGGTGCACATGGTCTGACCAGCATTGCAAAAGACTGAATTGCTATGGAAGAGGAGGGCAACTCACACTGATAGTCATTCAGGTAAGCAGGCATAAGTCTGGTTCTGTTAGATCTTCTGAGAGGGGGCTGGAAAGGAGAGATGGGTAGAGTATTTGATAACTCAGGAGAGTTTGAAGGGTTGCTGAATCTGGTATCATTTGGCTCAGAAACTGAATCTGCAGGAACTGTTTTTGGGCTAATTGGGCTATTTGTTTCTGGACTAGGTGGAGCAAGTGGTTGGACTGTTGGTGTAGGATAAAAAATGGGCTCAGGTATAGGAAATACATGTGAATTTGAAGGTGAGTGAGATGAGGACTGTTTGTATGGAAATATGCTTTCATGGAAGATTACATTCCTGCTAATGAAAACTTTGTGGGATTGTAAGTCATATACTTTATAGCCCTTGTATCCAAGATGATACCCAAGGAAAATGCACTTAGATGCTCGAGGAGAAAACTTTGTTCTATGAGCATTGATTGTGGATGCAAAGCGGAGACAACCAAAAGTTCTAAGGTGGTGGTAGTTAGGTGACTTTTGGAAGAGTACTTCATGAGGTGTTTTATTGCCAAGAACGGGTGATGGTATACGATTTATGATGTGTACTGCTGTAAGTACACAATCACTCCACAAGATGAGAGGAACATTCGATTGGAAAAGAAGTGCTCTAGCTACTTGTAGGATATATTGGTGTTTTCTTTCCACTATTCCATTTTATTGGGGTGACTCCACACAACTTTTCTGATGGAGAATACCATGAGATTGATAAAAATCTATCATGAGGAATTCAGCACCATTGTCTGATCTGATGGATTTAATTTTAGTATAGAAGTGAGTAGTGACCATTTGGTAGAAGTTTTTGATATGGTTACGAGTTTCAAATTTTGATTGCATCATGAAAACCCATGTGCATCTAGAATAATCATCAACCAAAGTAAGGAAAAAACTGTAACCATTGAAAGAATGTACACTAAATGGGCCCCAAATGTCACAATGGACTAAATCAAAAATCTTATTTGATATTGATTCACTGATGGGAAAGGGTAATTTCCTTTGTTTTGCTAGGGGACAAACTTCACATATATGCAAACTATTACAAGGTATTTGAGAATTAATCTGTGGGATCTTGGACATTCTTGCGTCAGATATCTGCCCAAGTCTGTGATGCCATAGGTCATAGTTGGGATATTGAGAGGCAAGTGCTGTTGAACTGGTGATAGATTGAGGCATAGGTTGATGATGACTAAACAGTAGATGATCTAAGCCTGCTATTTCCTTAGCAAAACCAGTCATCTTCATGCTGGACAGATCCTGTATGAAACAATAAGAGGCAGAAAATAATACACGCAGGTTAGAAGACTTTGTTAGCTTGGAAACAGAAATAAGGTTGAATGAAAAAGAAGGTACACATAGGACATTGTCAAGAGTTAGGCTGTCAGAAATTTTGACTTTGCCAATGTGACTAACTGGTACAGAGAAGCCGTTTGGTAAGTGAACATTGCTATCTGAGGTTGAATCAATGGAAGTAAAAATGTTTGGTGAACAGATCATGTGATCTGTTGCACCTGTATCTATTATCCAAGAAATATTCATTGGTTTGAAAATGTTATTATAGAAGGAAATACCTGCAGTGATAGTAGCTGCTGTGTGGTTATGTGTTGGTGTTTGCTGGGTTTTGGTAAAAGCTATGAATTGCTGGTAAAGATCGTGATTGAATGAATTACTTGGTCCCCCATCATCTGCAGGTTTACTTGTTGTTACAGCATGGACAGCAGGAGTATCAACCAACTTTCTTGACAATCTAGGACCTTTCCAACCCGAGGGGTAACCTATGAGTTGAAAACACAAATCTGCAGTGTGATTAAGATAACCACAATGAGTACATTTAGGCTTCTTTTTATCCTTCCAAGGTGGAGGTTTGCTTAATGTTTTGGGAGGTTGCCTTGCTACCATTGCAATTGATTCTGGGAGTGAATGAGTTTGTAGATGTCGTTGGCTTTCTTCTTGAATGAGAAGGGCATATACTCGAGCTAATGATGGAAGTGGAGAAGTCAGGAGCAACTAGCTTCTTAGTGCTGAATAGGATTCATTTAGCCCAACGAGAAACATCATAACACCATCTGATTGTTGTCTATCAGATATCGTAGTATATCACAGGTGCAGCTGGAAAGTATTCCACAATTGCATTTTGGAAGTGGTCTGCAGCTGATGTATTCGTCCCAAATGTCCTTGAACGAATTGTAGTATGTGGTTAATGGCTGTGAGCCTTGAGAAATGGAACTGATTGATTTCTCCAAGTGATACACTCTAGGACCATCACTACGAGTATATCTAGTTTTGAGTTCATTCCATACTTCACAGGCAGATGAAATATACAACAAACTTTGACGAATCTCTTTGTTGATTGAATTTAACAACCAAGATAATACCAGATTGTTAGCACGCACCCAACAATTATATACAACACCATTTGGTGGACTTGGAGTTGGTAAGAACCATCAATGAAGGCTGACTTATTCTTGACACTCAGTGCCATAGAAATTGAACGGCTCCAAGAAGTGTAGTTATCTCCATTCAAGACCTCAGAAACAATCAGAGTGCCAGGGTTATTGCTTGGATGCAGGAAATAGTGACTGGTTGGATCATCAGCAGGATTAAAGAGGAAATTCGCCATGGTTTGTTTTTACTCAGGAAGAAGATAAAATGACAGAAATTAAAAGTTCATGAGCTGAAACCAATAGAGGCTAATTTCTGCTGGGAAACAACTTGAGAGTGGCCGGATTTGCAGCCATGGATGGAAGCACATCAGCAGAATCTTGAAGAACTGGAATGCAACTTGTACGTCCAGTTGTTTGCAAGAGTAAGAACTGAAGAATCTTCAGAAAACCAAGAATGATTCCAGTAGAAATCTGGAAAATGAAAGAAAAAAAAACAGCAACGAAAAGCTTATCTTTGCTCTGATACCATGTTAAATTTCAGAATTGAAATCTGCAGTTTGAGCTTAGAGTTTGGAGATGATAAAGAAAAAAAGAGAAGAAGATGAATTCCCGGTATTTTTATTATTGATCAAAGATGAAATGTGTTTACATTTATAGATACATTACAACAGCACTACAGCTGTACTTCAACAGATTTAACTAACTAACTGCATTTATTCTAACTAACTGTATCTAACAGCTTTCTTTGTCAGCTAATCTGCATCGTAAGACATCTAGCCATTTGTAACTGTTCAGTTTCAATTTCATCCTAATTTCACGTGTAGCATTAACACCTTTTTTGACCAGTTTTGAATTTCATCCTAATTTCACGTTTAGCATTAACGCTTTTTCCTAAATGAAGAAGAAATTCATGGAACCGACTATTTTTTATCACAATGATTGCCATTTTGTAGAAAATTCACGGAAAGCATACATTTGCTCTACATCTCGGATCTCGGCGAAAACTTTGTCTAGATTAAAAATATGAAATTTGATGATAAATGTCGCCATCTAAAATTCGAGTTTCGGATGGATATATCATGTACTGGGTTTTCTTTGTATTTGCGTTTTGATAATTCTATCCATTCGTAATTCGACGTCCGATGTCTCATCGCTTGTGGAGCAATATGTCTATGTTTTTTGCTCTTGTAAACTTTGAATGTAGGTTTCCTGCCAGTGATGTCGTGAATCATCCATATGTTACCGTGTATGAATTTCAGAAAGTGGAAATGTGATATGATGAATATGTGAACGATGAAACGGGCTATAGTCACCACAATTAAATAAATTCAGTGACTAGAAAATGCTTCGATGATAAAATAATATATTCACCACATACGCTATTCTCTAGATAATTCGACTTATGTCAACATTTGATTTTGTGTCTATATGCAAAAAAGAAGTCCCTTTGAAATAAATGTTTGGAGTTGATCCTCTTACAAGATGACTTTGATGCTGCATCTGAAACCATCTTTCATCAAATTGTGTGCAAGTTCTTATCTACATAACTTAGATTTATCCAAACTTATTTCTTTTTCATTTGTACAGGAATGAACGCAGCAAATGTATTTGTAGTAAATGGTACGGGTACTTTGCTCTCCTAGTTCCTTGTCAATATGATAGTGAATGAGGCAAGGTCGAAATGTGACGTTCATGTATCAAGATTGGGAATTCTGCAGATGTGGAGATGTTCCCAATCCGAATAACGAATGACAATTCCCTGCAATTCTACTTGAAGTTGAAGCGTAGGGATCCACGTATCACAGCATATGCATTACGTGTCAACTTGGTTGAGATCTTGCAATCCACAGACTCTGTAAAAATTCAGACAGATAACATCAATGGTTCACAACTTTTATCTGCTAATTTGTTAAAAGTAAATTCAGTAGCACATGATTTCACCCACAACTTCTATCCACTAAGTTGTCATCTTCAGCTTGTCGTTCTAAACTCATCATTAACAAATTTTCAAAACCAAAATATGCATTACAAAGAACCAACCAAATTTTGTGCCTCCGAACAAAAATTCTTGACTCCATCTCACCATTGGGATTGAGTTGTTTGACATCCCATTTGCAGATAACTAATTTCTTTTATTTCCAGCTAATACGCATCAGATCATATGCTACCAAAGTTAGATCAAACCATGATGGAAATAAGGAATTAATGCACCACGAAATAGAAAAACAGAAAAGCCATGATGGTCAAATGCAGTTTACAGAAAAGTGTGACGGTTGTTTAAAACTTAATAATTCCTGCTGGCCAGACATATTCACTCAGAATTGAAAGAAAAATAGAAGCATTCATTATAGTCACCAAAAGGGGCATATTTGTTAAAATATCCACACAAATCTGACTGTATAATCACTATAATTGCAGCATTATAAATTATATATTGCACATCTAACATGAGGGGAACAAAGAGTATTGCATAACCCAAAATAATTACCTGTGGATTGTGATGAATCACAAACTTTTTTCTTTTTGTTGTTTGGAAATGCAACTACATCTTCAATTGCCCTCTTGCCTTTGTCCTCCGTGTGGTTCTTCCCCCCATACATTCGAGATCTGGGCGCACGACTTTTGCAAGTGGTGGACTGCTGCCTGAGACTTTTGATTTTGATGATGTATTAATGGAACGAGTAATGCATCGAGACTTTTGTTAACGAGTTCATTCTTGGGTTCGATAATCTTACAGGTTTTGTGTAAATCGCCTACTTGCTGTGTTTTGATGGACCTCGCGGACAAACATCTCTTCTAAGCCACTGCAACTAAAGTCCCTTCGACATTTTGCTATACCCATACGGAGCCGAGAGATGATATGTTTTTATCAGCATCCATGGTAGGAATTTTTCAGAAAAAAATGGATTGTGGTCAGGTGGTGGTGGGTGTGGTACGGCACGCCTCCGACAAGAGATTCTATACAGTGGTAAAGACTTAATTAATTGAAAATGGGAATCAAATGTTGGATTTGTATGAAATGGCATGGAATAAGCTTCTGCGGGAGATCTGTGAATGATCAATTCATGTTGGATTTGTATGGAATGACATGGAATAAGCTTCTGCGGGAGATTTGTGAATGATCAATTCATGTTGGATTTGTATGGAATGACATGGAATAAGCTTATGCGGGAGATCTGTGAATCATCGTGTAGGTTTTGCGTTCTTTTTCTTGGTGGGCGATTTGGAAGAGAGATTCCGAGCAGATGAATTTGATCGCAAAAGGAAATATCACCATTTTAGGGGTTTTTGGGTTAATTTAGTCAGTTAAGGCATGTCTGGCGGAGGAAATACATAGAAATGACATTTGAACTGTAGCAAATTTTAACATTGGCCATTGACCCATTAAATGAAAAAAAAAAAGTTAAAATATAAGTTTACACTAAAAGGGCGATTTTACCCTTCAATATACACCTGACTATTAGAAAAAATCCAAACCGACCGATCGACCTTCGAAGAAAACCGACGCCAACTGCCTGAAGAACGATCGATCAACCACCGGTCGAAAACATCAACATTCAATCCGTACCTGCACGCTACTATTCCGGTTAGTTTTGGCACTCAAAGTTTATTATTACAAGTTCCAATTTTTAGATTCATTATTTTTACGTTTATTCGGTTTAAATTCTTCATCATCATGTAAAGTTGTTAGATTGTGGATGTGAATGAGGTGAAAACTGTGATTTTTTTGTAATTTTTTGACCTCTCTATCATCGACAATGGCGATTTCGCCTGCGGAAAGACGATACCCAACTGTTAACAGTCGGCCCACGACTGTTAAAAGTCATGGGCCTACTGTTAAACAGTCATGGTCCAACTGTTAATAGTCAGTGCAGTGACTGTTTAATTTTTTTTTCAATTTTTATAATTAATTTATTTTTTTATTTGATTAAATAATTATGTTATTTATTTATTTATTTAATTTTTATAATTGTCTTTCATTTTATTTATATAATATAATTATTTAATTTTTATAATTGTCTTTTATTTATATAATTTAATAATTGAATATTATCTAAAATTAACAATTTATTTTATTCCTATTATTTTTGTTTTTATGAAATAATCTTTGAATTTTTTTTCAAATTTATTTAGATAATATATTTGTTTTTTAAATTTTTTAAAAATGTATTTAATTTGAAATTTTTTGTTCGTAAATATATTTTCCAAATGATTACAAGATTAATTTGATTAAATAATAATTATGTTAATTTTTTTTATAATTCCCTTTTTTTATATAATTTAATAATTGAATAGATAATGTTGTCCGAAATTAACAATTTATTTTGTTCCTTTTATTTTTCTTTTATGAAATATTCTTTGGTTTTGTTCTAATTTATTTAAATAATATTTATCTTCTTTATTTTTTTAAAAATATATTTAATTTGAATTTTTTTTTGTAAATATATTTTCCAAATGTAATATACAAGATAAACTAAATTATTTTAATTTTTAAATTTGCATTGAATTTATTTTGTTATTAGCGTCAATGTCTTGCGTATTGTATGATAGTTATAATTTGGTTGCCTTGATTTTTTGAGATTATGCGTTACTTTATTATCTATTGTTCAATGTTCTAACATTTGAATTTGTGCAAATTGGAGTATCATTTAGATGGGGAGTTGAGATTGATGGCGGGGAAAGCTACTTGGAACAGTAACTTTGAGAGTTTTACTACAGTGTTGGACCTGCTTGATGATCATCACGGAGATATGTTGCGACAGTTCTTCTTGTGGCCACTGTACCAGATGCGAGAGGTATAGTACTCGGGACAGATTATCGATACACTTCTATGTCGGCTTTTGAGGCCAGTCGATGGCGATTCCCTCCACTTCGACCTCGGGGGCAAGGTCGTCAGTTTCTCAATTTATGAGTTTAGCTTGATCACTGGACTGAGGATTACAGGCGAAGATGCAGCCATTGAGAGAAGCAATAGGCTGTATGATATGTACTTCCAGGGACATGGGTTAGTGCATCTACCCGAGTTGATAGTCGCGATTAGGGGTGCGACCAGATGCTAGATAGATTGAAGTTTGGACTGGTCTACATCCTCGAGAGTGTGATTAGGTGCCATCACAAGAAGACTGCCATCGACATTTTTCATTTGAAAGTTGTTGACAACATTGATGCGTTCAACGACCATCCATGGGGGCCAGAAATGCTACGAAGACACAGTACATGTTTTCACCATATTACACTCGAGGCCCAGATGGTCAATGCGTAAATACGATACATATGGATTGCCCTTCACGGTACAGGTAAATGTTTAATATAATTAAAGTTAAAGTTTTAGTATATTACATTTATGCATAATAAGTATATGTGTTGCAGATTTAGGTGTATGAGACAGTCCCTGCACTGGGAGCCCGCTTTGCAAAGCGAGGGGAGACACGATGCCCTCAGATGCATCATTGGAGATCGTCGCGAGCGGAGGGATGTCCCACTGGGAAACAGTTATCGGCCCTTCTTGACGATCCTCAAGTAAGTATTATGCATTTGTGATTTATATTATACGTAGTTTAAATCTGTTTACATAATCGTTAACTAGTTCAAATGTCAATAGGTCAACTTGAAGTCATACCTGAGTTGACGCCATCGATGGAAGAGGAGGCTCGGGGTCTTGTGCGGGATGTAGACGTTCTGCACACCGAAGACGAGCAGATGTCTGATCCGAGTGTGGACCGAGATTGGATATGTGAATTAAATATAATTTATTGAATATCGTCGACGTATAAATTTATTGAATAATTTTTAATGTTATTTACGTAGGAAGGCGGTCCAGCTAATCGATGATCACCTCCGCCGAGGGCATCGCCGCCGACATTGGCATCGCCTCCGCCGAAGACATCGTCATCGTCATTGGCATCGCCGCCACCATTGGCATCGACGATATGGGACGAGAGTTGACAAGGAAGGTTGACAATCTATCCCATGATGTTGGAATGCTACGGTCTTGCGTTGTCGATCTTCAGGATGCGGTAGTGACACTTAGAGGAGATTTAGCTGCTAGGCGATGGGGGGACAGAGGGAATGGTAGAGATAATCGAGAGGGTGGCAGAGATGGTGATGGAGAGGGGGGTTGCCCATATTTTTGGCATGACGAGACATTAGAGTCATTCTGATTGTCTATGGAGGGGGATAGGATGGCCCCGATGGGAGAGACGGAGGAGGCGGCGACAGAGGGAGAGGCCCCAATGGGAGGGGCGGAAGAGATGGCGACGGAGGGGAAGGCCCCGATGGGGGGACGGATGAGGTGGCGACGGAGTAGGGGGCCCCAGAGGGCGAGAGGACACCCATCGTGATTGAGGGTAAGGGACATGCTGTGATGAGACGGAGCAGGTGATCGGCAAGAGGTTGAGAGTGCCGTCACAGTATGTTGTTTCTCCCTTCACGGCTGAGGCCAAGAGGAGGACGTTCATCGATGGGACGTACTCGAACTTATTCAGAGAGGTGGACAATGTCAAGTGAAAAGTATTCGAGACAGAGTGGAGGAGAATTATCCCCGAGTAAGTATTGTATGATTTTAATAGAGCACTGTACGCTAACTCGTCTATGCTTATTTTAACATTTCCCTATTTTTTCAGAGCTACTCGCACGATAGGTAATCGGACGGTCTCAGACGCTTACAAGTGGTTCCACGATATCACGACTTCGGGAGCTTGGCTCGTCGATGATGTAAGTGAGCTATTCATTTCGTGTTTTGTATATATACGTCAATTTGTGTTTATTAAATGAATAACAAATAATTTTTTGGTGTTTCTTGATGCTAGCACATCGACCTGACCATGGACTTGCTGCGAGATCGAGCTTAGAGACATCCAAAATCATTAGACGTCCATGGTCAAGTCATATTAAACACCGAGTTCCTGCGTGCTGTTACCATAGAGTATCAATCGCTCCAACTTCTGGGTAATGAGTACAAGGTGCCAGAATATATGCTCGAGTGGGTCATAGGATTGTCGTCGAGTGTCGGGGGAAAATCATGGGAGGGTTGTACACATATGTACATTCCAGCATGCATCAATAAGCACTATGTTATGCTAGAGATCGTTTTTGCTGACACGACTATATATGTGTACGACCCAGATCATTCATATTTGACGCAAGGCCAGTTGGAGCAAAACTTGGAGTACGTAGCTGTAATTGTTCCTATAATGGCCAGACAAGCGGGGATGACTGTACAGGACAAATTGCAGATTGTTCGGAACACGACGACATCGCGACAGTCCATAAGGTAAGTATTTGAACTTTGTTGTTTTCATCTTTCAGATTTAGTTTTTTAGCTACACAGCACTAAACTGATCCATTCTTGTTCAATTGTAGTGGCGACTGTTGCATATTTGCCATTAAGTACGTTAAATTTTTAAGTATAAGACATAAGGTTGATGAAATCAACCAATCGTGGATACAGAACTGGAGAAAGAAGTTAGCATGTGATTTGTTCGAATTTAATGGTAACCCGTAAATTTGTATTAAATATATGTAACATTCGAATTGTAAATTTAATTATTTTTTGTGATTATGAAATAATTGTAAATTTGTGTTCGATATATATAACATTCACATTGTAAATGTAATTTTTTTTTATTATGAAATAATTGTAAATTTGTGTTCAATGTATATAATTATTTTTCTATAAGTTGATTTTTTGTTATTTTACACATATACTGAGAATGGAACTAATTTTTCCATATGAATCATTGTAAATACCGTTTATCAAGAATAAATATATAACATTGAACATTTATGAAGAACAAATATTGAACATACCTGTCTAATTGTCATTTATGGAAATTTGACTGGAACAAAATTGTCGAGTATGCTCTATGGCTCTACACCTGCCATGCCTACGCGGTCGAGGAAACTTTTCGGTAGATGGTATTCTAGATGTACTTGAATGTCCAGGACCACGCGGTTCAACTGCTGGTGGCAACAAATCATTAAACGGGAGAATGTGCTCTGGAACTTCCCACTCTGTTTCATTCGGCAGAGGAATTATAGTCTCCGCATATGCTGTTCTCCAAGACTCAGTCGTATAATACAACAAGCATAATGTTCTCGCTGCAAAGCCTCGATATGGCCACCGCAACTACATGCTCACATGAAACACTCTCCAACTGAAATCTCGTACAAGTGCATGTGTTATCAGTCAAATCCACCATATATGCCGTATTAAGTGCACATTGCATGGAGAAGCGGAACTCGTCTAGTGCTTTCACATTCAACTTCCTCACAACCTCTGCCGCCTTAAAGAGTTTCTCCTC